TTCATATTTAATTCCTCATCTCTGAGCCTATCCCACCTATCTGGATGCCACCTGTGTAGTTATTTCTACTTGTTTTGGATATCCCATCTTTTTATGGATATCCCACTACTACTACTTTTATCACAATTCTTTTAACTATTCTCAGTTTGATGGGCTCAAAAGACACAAAAGAGCCCACAACGTCCAGGTCCCTCGAGAACACACACAAGCACTTGCATATTCACATACAATTACTCAGTCTCCTCCACAGCTACACATACTATTCCTACTATTATTCCTTGTGAGTACTCCTAGCAAAAAATATCCCCTTCTAGCTGCTTCTAAGCTGCTTTACTTCCACCCACAAAGACACACCCCCTTCTCCTCCTCTCTCCCAACTGCTTCACAGCCAAACTTTTATAGGCAACTTAGCCCTGCTGATGCAAGTGTGAGGGCTTAAAAGGAAGCAATTAGCACAGATGCCGGCAATCTTCAGGGTGGGTCTGCTCTCTCTTATGCGCACGCGCGCACAAACAAACACTCTTACAAAAGTGACCTTTGATTAATGATGTATAATGCTGATTTACCAGGGGCACATTCCAAGTAAAAATATGCTAAGAAAAAATACATAATCCTAGAATTATTGTATGTTGTAAGTCATTAAAAGTACAGCATCACGTTAGGCTGCAATTCTATACACAATTACCTAGAAATAAGGCCCATCAAGTGCAGTGGAGCTTACTTTTGAGTAGATGTGCATAGGGTTGTGTTATTAATGGGAAGAATCTAGGAATCTTAACTGATTATTTTTTTATTTATTATTAAATTAATTTGTCACCCATCTTGTGGTTCAAGGCAACTCTGGGTGGTTTATAGTGAGATAAAATATACAAATATCAAGACAAATATAAAAATGGATTAAAATTACTAAAAATTAACTGGAAAAAAAACAGGTTTAAAGAAGAGAGGTGGGACTGCCTTCTCTGTAAGTGCACCAACCATCTCCAGCCAACTTTTTCTTCATGCCAGCCAGCACAGCCAAGTTTTAAGGCTTTTCCTTATGGCTAAATGGGAGGGGACAGATTTTATCTTCTATGGAAAGATACTCCAAAGGGTGGGGCCATGGCAGAAAAGGCTTTTCTCCTGTATCCCATCTGCTGAAATTCCTTAATTCATGGGGTTTGCAATAGGCCTCTTCTGCCAGCATGAGCGGGGTGGTCCAGTTCCATTGGGGAAAGACAATTGTACAGATATCCTGGAGTCATGCTAAAAAGGGTAAAGATTGCCTTGCGTTGTACCGAGGTGGACCAGCAGCCAGTGCAGTTCACGTAAAAGTGGGGTCACATGTGCCACCCTTGGGGCCTCCAAACTATATATGCCACTGCATTTTGGACCAATTGTAACTACTGAATACTCTTCAAGGGTAGCTCTATGTAGACCACATTGCAATAATCCAAGTAAGAGATGACCAGGGCATGAGTGACTGAGCACATGGCCTCATGTTCCAGGAAAGGGTGCAGTTGGCACACATGAAATTGTGCAAAGGCTCTCCTTTTGTCCAGAAGGGTCTGCAAGATGCTTCTAGAAGTGTCACATGCAGATGAAGAGTAAATGATTATTGCTGATATTCCTCAATAATCAATGCCATTTTCTGAATCTGAATTTTAGATCATGATTTGTGGGCAGAAACAGGCTTATCCTACAAATAATTTAAGTTACTTCTAGTGTTTTTTACTACATTCAATAGTAGTATTGGTCAGCAATGTATTATATGACGTAGAAGTGTATCTTCTCTGTCCTGTCCAAAAGTTCTAAATTGGATCATTGTTCTTTCCTAGATACAAGAAGTAGCTAACGCTCACACTGAGATTCAACTGAATCTAGCTATTTTCGGAAACAAAAATAGAACAGACTGTAAAACACAAGTATAGAAAATAGAGACAAAATGTTGCAATATTACTGTTCCCAAAAGTGTGTGGAGTTATTCA